CAATCCGCTGCATGTGTGCATCCATGGTGTAATGATGGAGTCTCTCGCACGTTTGTCAACCGAGAATACTCTATCCACTGTAGATAGCCATCGTCATCAAACACAGCATCACGCCATGATTTTTCTGTAAACGAATCCAATGCCTTGTTGCCGGTAGTCCAATAAGAAGCCGTGGGTTTGCAATCAAAACAGAATGACTTTAGCACAGGTTTTAATGGTGCTGTACATGCTAGACAAAGACCAACTTCATTTATATCTTTAATTAAAAAATATTCTTGTGATTCATTATCAAATGTAAATCCGATATAGTGCTCCAAAAAGTAGGATCAAGCAAATCCGGATGGTCATCACATAACTATTGTAGTTTCTTCCGTTGCAACTAGACGCTGGCCATAGTTATACTAACATTAATAGCAACATTCATAGCCTAATACTAATGAGTGTTTTTTATCCCAATGGACCAGCATTTTCACTTCTGCTACTACTGTTGCATTTTATTTGATAAGTAATTAATAAAATCTCCGTCTACGATGTACACCGTCAATGGAATTCCTATTATCCTGCTATTCATTGTCACCAACATTCGGACTGGATTGTCAACAATGCACTTGCATTTCTACTGACATTGTTAGGTATATGTGTAGATAATAACGATACGTTACTATATTTCATCTTATGTAGTATTTACAGAAGTAATTGTTTCAACAAGCACAAAAATGTTGATTTATGTGTTGATGCATGTTCAGTTTTCAAAAACTATAAAAAAAGTAAGTATTATTAATCTACTTTCTATATAGCCAACATACTAATAGAATGAATAAATTCATCAGTATTCAATCCCGCAAGTTAAGACAAGTCAGTGATCTTTTAATCAAGAGTTGCAAATCACAAATTATTTCGACTCTTTCCTCAATTACTATTAACCTCGAGAATCTACCACTATCTACTATATCCATTAGCGACAGCCTATAGGTTGGTAATCAAATTGGAGCAAGGGTAGATTGATGGATAAGTATCAATTACGTGTTTAATGTGCTTTTTATTAGAGTATTAAAGAACGACCTACTACTACCAGGGATTCTTATCGAAAGGAATTATTGATCGGATAATTAATAATCAGAAGATGACAATTGACCTTCTTTGTAAATAAACAAGAAACGTGCTATTTATTACAAATGCGTCTTAAATTTCAATCAACTGCTATATTATTTAGACGTACCAACGATGAACAATTTACCATTATTGGCTTAACGGCGTCCAATACCCAAAGGCATATATCAATAAACCAATATCTCTTCGACAATCTAAAAAAAAAACCACTTTGCGATGAGATATAAGAACTGTTGAGCACAGGCGTCCTTATCAGGTTACACAAAGTGTCGCTCACGCGTTGGACAGCATGTGCGCAGGGAAACCCTAAATCCCGTTCCCGGATTTACATATGTAAATGCGGTTTTGGGGACCCTGGACGGGGATTTACATAGTGACGGGATTTACATACGGCAAATATAATAGGTGGCCTTTTTATGTAAGTATACTGCAGACACAATCCTTGCCTGCTGCCCAACATATGTATGGCAAGAACTGGCGTCTGCAACAAGACAATGATTAGAAGCACATTTCACGTGTTGGTAAGGACTTCGGACTATTACTTGGTCATCCAATAGTCCAGCCCTGAACCAGTCGAAAGCATGTGGCATATTATCAAGAACAATGTTGAAAAGCGGATGCCAAAAAATATTGATGAATTAAAAATGACTGAAAAACTGGATGCAATTTCAGAAAAAGACTGTTGAAAAAGAAGAAATTTTGTATAACAAATTGGAGGCATTTTTGCATGATCGTTGAGTTAGGCTATTTCGTTACACACTGTACCATGACGGTGGCGCAGAGATAGTCACCAACAATTTAAATTATAAGACATTGTAATTGTGAACCCCCTGAAATTCTATGTGGCACAATGCTCATTGCAATTTATTCATCCCATGATCCCTTCAATTCCACATAGTAGTAATAATAGTAATAACAACTTTACTTATATGTTATTTTCATATGACGATAAGATTGATTCACACGTGAACACTTAACTTCTACAAGCCATAATCAGTAAATATCATCAATTTACATCGTTCGACGTCACTCAAATATGAATAAATAGCGATAGTAGCGAGCAACTGACTATTATTTTCAAACTCTGAAAAAAAGGGAGTTGACATACCATCCCCCGACCCCATCTAAGAGAGTGAGAAAGAGAGAGAGAGAGACAAAGGATAAATAGAATTCAACTGAAATAGATACTTGTATCTAAAAAACGGCCCATAAATTCTCCTATTATTATTAAATTATACAAAAATGTTCCACGCTATAATATTATTCTTCTATGGCATCATTCGAAAGGTGTTCCGCATATCAGTAGCATTCTATACCGCATTAAATAGATGGATGGCCTTCCTTGCACAATTGACTATGATGTAAGTAACAAGTTTTATTTCATGCTATCCGTCGATGAAACAATACATGCACATACTCGCATACGAGGTTCTCGTGTTGTAATATTCTCGTTAATGACTTCACTGACTCCATTTATGTGTATCTTTTATATATATATATATATATATATTGCATAAATCATTAAATTCGATTGTTTTCTCTCTTCTCTCATTTACACACACCAAACACACGTGTACATAAATATTTATACGCGCTAACGCATATAGGTTCTTCATATGGAACTCGCTACTGCTCGTAATTGGACTTGTATCAACAGTTCAAATGATCATCGGGTTCGGCTTTGAAGTGATTAAACTGACTTCACCAAAGTCTGTTAGTGTCCTACCTGCCTCTCCCCAAGCCACTTCTGCTGCGGCACCAAATTCAAGTCCCAAGCCTCGAAGTGCTATCACTGAATACTGGCAATCACGCCGCAAAGCTTACCAGGAGATGGTGGATGGATTATATGTGAAATACATGAATAGACTGTTGGGTGTGCAACAGCAGCAGGCGCTGTACTTCCAGAATCAGCAGTATTTCCAGAGTCCTAATCAGTTTTATCCCTCAGGAGGGTACTATGATGATAGATGGTACGGTCAGGTGAATGTAGGGACGCCTGAGGCGTTGATTGATGATGACCTGACCGTACCGACGCAAGAAGAATTGGAGGCCATGACTGGGACTAGTGGAACCAGCGGACCGTTGGCCATCGGAGGTGTAAGCGGGGCGCAACTACAAGGAAGTGAGGAGATTATGGTTGGTGGAGAGTAAAGAGGAGGCCCTAAGGAAGGAGAAATTGAGTTTGAATGAGGCCCTTCAAAGAATGTGTTGTTCGAGAGAGAATAACAGAGATTAGCTGTTTGAATGTTTGAGTGAGATGGGATTTTCTTGACATCATTAGGGAGTTTTGTATACATGCCACTCAATCACTAGTTGATTTTCTCCCTACAGAGTCTATAATTATTTGAAATTTAGCACTGTGATGACCTGTTCTTTGTAAACTTGATGTTTCGTTTCAGGACCACTTATCGTAAATTCAACAATTGATGAATACGTGAGTGCAGATGATCGTAATTAAGTCTATTGGGATTCATTCATTCCTTTGAAATTGAATTTACTTCTTATTTCCTAAAGACTTTTATTATTACTGTTATTATTATATGACTAATTACTCTCTTCTCTTTATCCTTAAATATTGGAAAATGTACGTTCAGATGGGAATAAAAATTTGCCAGTTGAATGACGAACAGAGAGTTTCTACATGCCAATTATTCGTATGGTGTATGCAACAACTTGAACGTTGGTAACCCAGCATATTAAATCTAATGATTTTTCTAAGTCTATATTATATCATACATAACATAACTCTATTACTGATACTCGGTCACAAAGAACGCGATATCTCTTTTGTAACGATACTCTGAATTAGATCGCCTTCTTGAAACTCGAAACTACAATCAAATCCCATCCCACATTCCATCCCCTTCTTAACTTCAGTCATATCTTTTTTCACTTGTTTCAGAGACTCTAGTGCACCTACATAATAAAACAAAAATCATGACCAATCAGTAACAGTAACCTTGGTGTACATCGGTTTGATATGCCATCATTGCTCATAACAGTAATGGGCCATGCCAACCAAGCTGTATTGAGAACGTATTTTTATATCTTACGTACCTTCCCAAATCATTTGATTTCCTCGCATAATCCGCACTCTTTGATTTCTAAGTATAGTCCCATTGGTCACCCTGCATCCAGCTATCGGTTTCTGTTGTTTACCTTTAACAGTAATTTGGAATACTTGTAGAATTGTTGCTTCACCCGTAACGTGTGTTTCAATGATAGGCGGAAGCATACTGGTGAGACGTGATTTCACCTCTTCAAGGAGTTTGTATATTATATTGAAAGTTAAGATATCGACCTTTAATTTACTGGCTTCTGATTGGATCCTTTTACCCGCCTTTACATTAAAACCGATGATTATTCCTTAAGATGAAGCAAACATCTGTATTAACAATTATTGATCAAACTGAACTATAATTCTGTCTCCATAATAAAGCTGCTGCTCCCAGCTACTCACCCCCCTCTGCTGCCGCTGCCATTTGTATATCTGACTCTGTGACATCTCCAACACCGAAGTCGATCACATCTACGCGTATTTCATTGTTCCCGACTTCATCCAATGCATTGACAACAGCCTCGACTGTACCACTCACATCGCCTATCATAAATTTACTTGTGTCAATATCTTACTTTTTCTTTGAAAGATAAATATTGAATAAAACAAGCGACAGTTTTATATTCACATATGCATCACCTTTGACAACAGCACACAAGCGTTTCACTTGTTTCTCATCTTCGTCAGCTGGCTTAGCAACAGGCGGAGGTCTCGAAGGATATTCAGGTAAAAGTCCTTGATAATACATCCAAACTGCTCTCTTCATGTCTCTCATCTGGCTACGTTCTTCGTGTATCTCTTCTTTACGTTGTCTGCGCTTTTCATTAATTATTTCGAGGTCTTTGACCTGTTGTTCTCGTGTATGCTTTAATGTGCGGTTTTCGGTTACTTTTTTGGCGAGATCCTAACATAAACAAGTAAAATATCAATCAGATCCTACATATGCAAGATGGGATAAACATTTAAACATTCAAGTTAGTATTAATCGGAATCTACCTCATTTCCAGCTTCTAAAACTTCATCTCCGGCATTGGGCAACTCCTTCCATCCGATAACCTTAATCGGAGTTCCGGGTAATACCTGTTTCATCGTCTTCCCGTTCTCATCAACCATATTTCTAACTTTACACCAACTTCTTCCGGCCACAATAATGCTTCCTACTTTTAAAGTTCCTCGTTTTACCAACACTGTTGCCACATTTCTATTCAAGTTGTCCAAAAAAGCCACCAATCACACCTTTTAGTATACAATTGTACAATGTAAACTTTTTCAATACATAGCTATAATACTCACAAAAAATCCTCACCCTCTGCCTCTTTCGACTTGCGATTCAATAACGTAACCTTCACAACCTATGTCTACTTCTGCACGAATATCCAACATTTCCGCAAGGGTTACTATAGCCTCCTCCAAATCGTCTAGGCCTTTACCCTATCGACGAGAACAGTTTAGATAATCTCACTTGGCAAAATAAAAGACAAAAGCAGTTGATACAAAGCGACAGTGAACGGAGATAACAAGACAATTAATGTAGAACATGTAATAAAAGCTGTGAATTGGATATCTTCAAGAACCAAAAGTATATGTATAATGTATTGAGAAATCCAAATGAAGATTGTGCTGATTTACCTTCAAAGCTGAGACTTGGATTGACTGCGTTTCCCCGCCGTCTTCTTCGAGAAAGACTTCATGCGTTAACAAACCCTGACGTACGATATCCTGTCCGAAACATGAAATTAACAGCATTAGGGTAAAAGATCAAGCACTAAAAGTCCTACACATATTCTTAAATGCTCACCAAATTCGCGTCGTGCTTATCAATCTTGTTTATTGCCACAATAAGAGGTACTGTTAACCATACAAGAAACATCGTTAAATTGTACGTGTCAGTTAACTTCCCCCCAAGCTCCTTTTTTTTTTACCATTCGCATCTTTAGCGTGTTGAATTGCCTCGACGGTCTGCGGCTTGACGCCATCATCAGCAGCAACAACCAAGACCACAATATCAGTTACATGGGCTCCTCGTGCCCGCATTGCTGTAAATGCAGCATGTCCCGGTGTATCAAGAAAAGTGATTGTTTTCTTTGATGGAAGGGTTACTGTCGAAGAACAATGAAAGATAAAAATCCAGTTTACATATAAACCAGCAAGTATTAGATTATCATATTCGCATATTGCTCACACGCTCACCGCTACTCACCGCTAAACGCTCCAATGTGCTGCGTAATTCCTCCTGCTTCTCCAGCTGCAACCGAAGTCTTTCTCAACGAGTCGAGCAAGGTTGTCTTGCCATGATCCACGTGTCCCATTATTGTAACTACTGGTGGACGCAATGGGTAAATGGACATGTCAGATGGTTTAGGTCTTAGTTTGATTGATTGATTGTTTGATTGTTTGTTTGATTAGAAAAAACGATATTGAGAAGTTAGTTTATACAAGTTGCTAATGCCAAAGAGCTAAAGAACAAATAGAATTTAATTGCCGGTGGAAGAATTCTTAAAACTAGTAAGATAGACTACTTTGGAAACAGATCCATTGCCACATCCAGATTTACAACGGGGTTTAAGTCGTATTCAAGAGCAATTAGGCTTGCTACCTCAGACGTCAGCACTAGAAAATAAGAGAAAAAGGTAAGTAACCATAACTTATCAAAATCACATTATTGTTCGTATAATATGAGCAACTTGCAATGATCATGCGTGGTATATTCGATTCCCAATTCTTGTAATTTCCTTTCAAACTTGTCTGTACAAAGTCATAAATTAGTTGTGTGATATCAGGTAATAAGCTCTCATCACGAACATTTGCTTCAGACCCTTACCCAATCGTAACCCAATAATCTTTGCAAGATTAGCCACGCTAATAGCTTCAGGCAGATAGACTTCTTTTTTGAGCTTTTCCTCGACTTTGATGACTTGCATTTTCTTCTTCTTTTTTGCACTCAGTTCAAATTCATCATAAACCAATTCATCATCGTCCAGTTCGTTCTCTTGTTCTTTTTTTAAGAATCGTTCTCGCTTGGAAATTGACCGTCCATCGTCACGCTTGACAGGTTTGCTCTTTGGTCGAGGTAGATTCCCAATATTAGTCAGATCTTCTATTTCTTCCGCGATAACTTCCGGCTCGATTATTTCGGCTGGCGCGCGTGGATCGGCGACAACCGGGGCTACGGGAGGACTTGGTTGGCGTATTGGTGTAGGAGTCGTGGGTGGAGCTGCTCTATCTCGGCGAAATGGTTGATCTGGATAACCACGTCGAGGCCGCGACTGAGCGGGCTTTTCAACTGTTGGAGGGTGTTTGGGCCAGGGGGGTGGACCTGGAGATTTCCAATCTCGCTTTGGTATAGGAGCATCAGTCCTCGTTGGAGGTCGTGAAAAGGGTAAGGGTTGAGAGGCCTTTGGATACCTGCGGTCTGCTGACCAATTAAACGAGCCGTCGGAAGAGCGGACATCTCTGGATGCAAACTGGTCAGGGGAAAATCGTTTGAAAGATTTACCATAGCGAGTATTAGAATTGATTGATTTTCCTATAGAGCCTATATCGATTGACTTGGAATCATTTTGGCTAGGACGTAAAAAATTTCGCAGCACATCCGCCACTTCCTCATGTGTTCTTTGGGGTTTTCTTTGAGCTTCTATCGGATCGCGTATTGGCAGATCCAATGTATTCATATCTCGGTCATGCGTTGCTGGTTTCTTCAATTGCGTATTTTTCAATCTGAATTCAGGTGGATCAGACGAATCTTTTGTATAAAAGCGTCTGTTAGTGAGTGAAGTTTCAAAAGAGAATGGCCTGGCGGTTTTGGTTAGCTTTGGTTTTAAAGAACGCATTATTGATTCAATTAATTAGTTTAAACAGACACTTATGAAGAAAATGTAGATCCTACTGAAAACGGGTGTTAAATGTATTTTCCTAATCGGACATGAACCCGTTTGGGAATTTCAAACAAGTTCGCGCGGTTTATAGAATACACTTTAGATAGGTAATAATGTATTTAAGTAGATTTCACACAAGAAAGTGCTGTGGTTGTGTTGATCTTAAGACAGGTGCGAAAACATGCATCTTTAGAACGTGATTGATTTGCTCAAAGTATCCCGTTAACTAAACGAAGGCCGTTTTGCAACAGGTGTCATCCTCATAACAATGATAGCTTTGGTTTGTAAACGATTGTACATCTGTTCTGCTCGCAACGTTTCATAGTACACATGTTTATGCAATATAATCTTGATTTATTCGACAGCTGAACAAACTCTCGGGCTTTTTCGGCATACTTAACTTATTTTACGGTGGAGGAGTAGTCTCCATCATATCCTACATATATTCCATAAGTGCCGCCGTTTTTATAGGTTATTGTCTGCTATATGGTCTATTACAGGTATACTCACCTCTTAATAACTAAGACTTGTTTTGCGTTTCTTCTCTCACACTATTTTCTTTACCCCCCCCATAGGACAATCCAACAATAGTTCGCCTATATTCACAATGTTACTGGATAGACGTACTGGCAAGCACAGTTTTTACAATAACATTTGGTATATTATGGTACTTCGTGATAGATCATACTCCAGTGATTATAGAAGAATTTGCACAGAGCGCAGCAAGTATAGCAGATTCTGACAAGACAAACGGAGAGATAGATGGAGACAAAAGTGGAAATAGCACACAGAGTTCGTCAGATAAATTACCGGCATGGAAGGCGGAAGCAACTATTGCTATAGTTTGGTTGGTTGTATTATGGCTTGTGCACGTGAGTGGACTTTTTCTCATCGATGTCTTTACATCACATGTGATCTTAATTTCATGCCCATTTATCGTAATTAGATTTACTTTGCAGTAGTCGTTCAGTCATATGCTCTGTATGTCGGGAAGAAGTACACAAATCTATCCTCATCTGATCTCAACAGTCCGCGTGATTCGATGTCTGGAGATGCTTTGCTAAAGAATCTGGGTCGGCGGGGAGCATCAAAACGTGCGGACGTGGTGGATGAAGAAATTGAACTTTAAAATGTTACGAGTAATCAGCTTGTTATTTTCATTATACCATTATAGAGTTTAATTAGAATTCATGTTATATATTGATTTTGACGGATACGATTTAATAACTATTATCATCCGCAAGAAGATGACAAAGAGTAAGAAGAATTAGAAGGAGAAAACTTATAATTAAAAACGAGAATTTATGTTTCAAAACTCTATGTTCACGCGGTTAATTTATTGGGGATTCATGCGACATACAAGTCTTCTACATTAAAGCACAACGAAAACTATATTACAAATATAAAACGAGTAATATCCTGTCAATAGTTCTCATTTCTTCATTTTCGTATCTTCCGACCTTCTTTTTCCAATCTTGCTTTCTGCTCTGCAGCTTTAGCTATCAGGGTAATAACAATGTCCACAAGAAAGATGAGATCAGATGATAGAAATGTGTAATTTGGCTTTCAGGAAAGCGCTTTACCAACCTTCTGCTTTCGCCTTTCTCGCATTTGCAGCTTCTTCTCGCTGTTTTCTTATAAGAGCTAGACGTGCTAAATCGGCCTTGGCTTGTTCGGTTTTACCTTCCAAGTGAAGTTTCCAATACTGCTCCCTAGCTGCTTCTTTTTCGGCTGCTTCTCTGAATGATAGTTTTAATAGTGAGCAGATCACAACAACTCTATGCAATAACATATTATCTCATGCTTACCTCTCTCGTCGAGACATTTGCCGAGGTGCTGAAGGATTAGCATTTCTCATATTATCTTCCTTTGTTATGCGATTAGGATTGCTCGGTGGCTTAACAAGCGAGTGAGTATAATTTCAAGTACGTGAAATCGGTATGATGTTCGTGAATAAGTACCTCGTCCTGAGCCTCAGCATCGTCTTCGTTCTCAGAGTCATTTTTCGATTCTTCAGTCGCGGACCCTTTACTTTGCTCTTCTTGACTTTCAGCTTCTCCAGAGCTTTCCTCTTCTTCTTTATTATCCTGAATAAGTGATCACAGACATATTTCAACATTAGGAGATTCGTGAATTATTCGCTTAAAAATTTGTGAAGAAAAACTTACATCCCACATTCCTTCATCCTCGCCACGTTTTGCAGTCGAACGACGGAGCGCGGGAGTAAAGCGATGACCTCCGCCACGCACTGGTTTTCTTTTATTTCTGTAGTTTCGCCTGCCCGACATTATTTAATATTAAATAAAGTCAACTGTTGACCGGCAATTTTATGCGCCAAATATGTGCACGTGATGTAGATGTCATTACGCGTTGCAGTGATCGAAGATTAATTATCGACATGTCGCTGCATTCCCGTCATTATGCAAAACGGAGTAATTCTCAACACACTCTTAAAGCAACTTCAGTAGATACGTTAGATGATGTTTTGGTGTTGATAAAAAATGCTGGATATACTGTTGATGACGTGAGTAACATGCAGACACACGGTTAATGGTTTATTGAGTTCTATCCAGATTTCGTTATATAGAATGCGATGACAGCAGAACAGTCGAAAAAGTCGGTCGAGTTGATGGATCTTCTTGCTGAAATATTGGCCGTTCAGGATAAAGTTGAGAGTGTAAGTGGGGACAAGGGATGTGTGATCTGATGACTAGAAGCATTAATTATTGCTGTACTTTAGTTAAACAAGGACATAAACAAGTTCAGAGATGTGATTGAAAGTTATGATATTGTCAGGTCTTCCGAGATTGGTAAGTCCGTCTCATACTGCTAGGAAACCCTGAACTTACGAGTGATGAACTAATTATTGTTTGTTGTTCTTAGAAAAGAAAATCAAACTGTTAGATGCATTCAGTAGTCACGTACACTTGATAATGACTAATAAGCAATTTCTGGTGAAAAGACTACGTGAGCCATATGCAGGACCACACATAACTCTCCAAGCAGAATACCACCAGTAAGTAACAGTAGAAAATACCATGGTGGGATGAGATTATAATTATCTAATACTTGCTATTATTAGGCCATTTGCATATTTAATCCAGTTGATTGTTGAAAGTATTAATTCACTCCCACAACACGTTGAAAGTGTTAAATGGGTCACAGACCATGGGGTATTTGATAAAAATGCCATAGTAAGCGACGTTGCGAGCAATCATTTTCGTTTAGTGATGTTATGAAGTAAACATTAATTACTTTTATCTTACAGGACAAGCAGGTGTCTTCAACAGCGTCAACAATTGCAACGTATGGAAACTATGCGGATTGTATTGAGAGAGTCAGAAAGACTGTAAAAGAAATGCAAGAAACGTGTGTTGACTAGAGAGGCGTGAATGGCAGCTAGTACTATCAAATACTCAGCACCCAAATAATAAAAAATATAAAGCTCCTAATTCTTTTATTTACATCATCTATGATCTGATACATCTGTTCAGTGACAACCTGTATTTTATATTACATATGTCCAATGGCTGTGCAATGAGATGGGATGCTACAAAAACCAAGTAATGCGAATGAGCTTTCCTTGATAATACCAACGACACTCAATTTCGATTAAAATATCAGACAATTGTTCCCGCAGTGACATTTGTGTGATTGGTTCTTACTTTTTATGTGCATCACACGAACAAAAATCAATTCCTTCACCTTTTCCTCATAATCATGACCAAAAGAAAAGAGCAGCATTACGAAGTGCAAGTAACCGACGAGAATGATGTATTGAAAATAACGGCCTTGGGTGCTGGAAATGAAGTTGGGCGTTCCTGCGTTGTAATTCAATACAAAGGAAAAACTGTCATGGTACTTAAACTCATTGAAATAAGTATACAGTATTATTAGTGTGTAAATAGTAGTAGGCTGGGTTAATAGCTAAATAGCCTTTGTCAGGAAAAAAAAAAAGAGAACAACCAGATCTGTAATACTTGCACAATCATTCAATAAAACAGGTCTCAAATTTATAACCACGTTATTTATCATGTGTAAATTTTACGATATGACATGACTCTCTTGCTCTATATCTGTTATCCCACTATACTCTTCTTTCCTTAGCTTGACGCTGGAGTTCATCCAGCATACAATGGCATCGAAGCGCTACCATACTTTGAACAAATAGATCCTTCTACTGTGGATATATTACTTATAAGCCAGTACGTTATCTGGGAAATAATCAAGTAGATTGTTAATTGAATTTAATAAATATCAAAAGGACTAGTCAATGCGTGTGATATTATCGTTAACATTCAGAAAAGTGCTTTACATGCTGATTTATCTTAATTACAAAGTTTTCACTTAGATCATGCTGCATCGTTGCCTTACTTTACGGAGATGGTAGGTGAACGGGCCAAAAGTGTATTGGGATGGAGTCGACGAAAAAAGTCAGGATATACGTCTCAAGGCTAACGAGATTATCTCAACAGACAACATTCCAAGGTCGCGTGTTTATGACCCATCCAACAAAAGCTATATATAAATGGTTACTGTCAGACTATGTTCGAGTCAGGTTAGTTGTTCGTCTTTGATAATAGATATCAAACATTTAATACTACATATCTTATTCGTTTACTCATTCTCATCCTTTTGACTTTCCAATAAGCAACGTTTCCGTGAGCAATAATCTGTACAATGAAGAAAATCTCATTCGTAGCTATGAAAAAATTGACGCAATTGATTATCATCAAGAAGTCGAAGTAGAAGGCATCAAGTTCACTAGTTACAACGCAGGGCATGTATTAGGTGCAGCGATGTTTCTGATCGAGATCGCTGGAGTCAAGGTAGGAATGAGAACGATGCGGCGTGGATATGGGACTACAAAAAGCATATTATCTATTGTGAAACACGTTAGCATATATAGACGTGCTTCCCCATATTCACTGACAAATTTTGACTCTCTTCTGTATTTTCCAAGATTCTCTACACGGGTGATTACTCCCGCGAAGAGGACAGACATTTAATGGCCGCCGAAGTCCCACCTGTACAACCTGACGTCCTAATAACGGAATCAACCTACGGTGTGCAATCTTACCAACCACGCCTCGAGAAGGAATCTCGCTTTACGACCTTGGTTCATAGTATCGTCAGCCGCGGCGGTCGCTGTCTCATGCCTGTCTTTGCTCTTGGCCGTGCACAAGAGTTGCTTTTGATCTTGGATGAATATTGGGAAGCGCATCCCGAATTGGAAAGCGTGCCAATCTATTACGCTAGTTCCTTAGCGAAGAAATGCATGGCTGTCTATCAGACTTATATTAATATGATGAATGCAAGAATAAGAAAGCAATTTGCTGTTAGTAATCCGTTTGTGTTCAAACATATTTCGAATTTGAAAAATATGGATAATTTCGACGATGTTGGGCCTTGTGTGATGATGGCCAGTCCAGGAATGTTGCAGGTTTGATATCATATGCGAGAATACAAGAGTATCAGCGGCCAGAAATTAAGTATATGTATGTGCTTTGCTAGAGCGGTTTATCACGAGAACTATTTGAAAGATGGGCACCGGACCGAAGAAATGGACTTGTTGTCACGGGTTATTGTGTCGACGGGACTCTAGCGCGCGTAAGTAACTGCCGCTTTGAAAGAGAAGTTGCGTTTTCTTAATTAAAGCTCTGCGACTTACTTTTCTTGTTTCCTCCTTTTCAAAAAAAAAAAAAGCATGCGATGACGGAACCTTCGGATATAACTTCAATGTCTGGCACCAAAATTCCATTGCGCATGTCAGTTGACTCCATTTCCTTCTCTGCTCATGTGGATTATACCCAGAACAGCCAATTTATTGATGAGGTTAAAGCTCCACATGTTGTAGGTGTTTGAACGTTATGGGAGGGATCGAGCGATGGTGTCGAGGAAGAGCGAACGTAGAGTTAACATGTGAATTAAGAATAGAACAACTGTATTTATGTATTATGAGAGTCGTCTTGGTATGTATGTTTAATATACGTTTCGTCTATTGACTTCACGTAGGTACTCGTACATGGAGAGACAAACGCAATGGGAAGATTGAAGAGCGCATTGAAAAGCAGATACGCTGAACGAGAAGAAAACATTAACATATACACTCCGAAGAATTGTGAGATTGTTAAATTGCATTTCCGAGGAGAAAAGATGGCTAAGGTGTGTGAATAGACTACAATAATATTCGTTCGTCGTGTTTTAATATGCTTCTTATTTCTTTTTTTGCGTATTCTCATCGTTGCACATCTCCATCTTATCCGATCCACTCTATGCCCTACAGACTATCGGTACCCTGGCATCAAAATACCCGACAGAGAACCAGATAGTTACTGGCATCCTCGTCTCTAAGGATTTTCAGTTTAATATCATTTCCGCCAGCGATCTCAGAGAATTTAGTGGTATAGCCACGAGTTCTATTCTCCAAAAGCAAACAATTGGTTATCGTGCCAGCTTCTCGTTGTTGAGATATCATCTCGAGCAAATGTTTGGCGTGCTAGAAGAGATTGAAGATAACGATGAGGTCGTTGGGCTAAAGGTTTGTTTCTTTCTTTTGAGATTGATTTCCACTATTTCAGCCTTCCATCCGGAACGAGCATACAAGACTTCATTGTTCTTTGGATGGCCTTTTCTGTTAGATTTTGGGTGTTATTTCGTTAACACATACCAGTACGAAATACGTGACCCTTGAGTGGCTTGGGAACTCGATAAATGATGTCATTGCTGATTCAGTATTAACGGTAATTCTTAATATCGAAAGTAGTCCTGCGTCAGTCAAAGGTAAAATCGAACCATTCGTCTATTATTGCATTTCGACCCTGTTTTCACTTAAAAATTTGCGCCCAATCATTCTTCTTACTTACATACCTCGTATACGCTTCACAATCCTTCTCTCTAGTCACCAAGCCTCCACACCACTCCCATTCACACACAACTACTTCCGAAGATATACTCAACGATGCCGAACGCTTCCTTAAACAGCAGTTTGGGGAGGTGAGACGAAAACCGGATTCGAACGATGAGGTCCTAATTGTTTCTATTGATGAGCAGACTGCGGAAGTTAATGTTAAAACTATGGTGAGCTTTGAAAATCCTTGGTATAACAGTGTAGGATGAGAACTAAGATGTTAAACCAGTAATTATTAATCATTTTTGTTTCGGGTTACGAATAGGAAATTCAGACCGACTATGATCCATTGAGAAACAGGCTTACGAGTGTGTTGCAGAGAATTTCGAGAACGATACGTCCATTAGATCAGACTGACGCAAGGCCGAAGATGATAAGCGAATGTGAGACAGACGTCGAACAGAAGAACATAGAAATGTGAAATAGAAATTTTGTATATGAATATATAACTGGTATTGTCAACTAATTGATCATATGAATATCTCGTAACGGACAGCAAAAATTTTAAGGAATAATAAACTTATGCCATCTGCTCTAATTCCTTTATTAAATCCTGTCGTATGTTGTCAATGGGCTTTCCGATGGCTAGTCACCAAAACATTTGTGTTTATATCACTTCCGCACGGCAGTAAATAATTATATATGCGTTGACTATCTTGACGAATTATGAGAATGAAAACCTAATGGATCCCGCGAAATAATATTCACCGAAATAACGTTAAATTAACCATATTTGGTAGCAGCAACATCCATATGAAAGCTCTGGTAATTTGGTATGGTGCTGGGTAAACATGGAAGCCCTGGTAATCCATGAACTTCAACATGACTTTCGAGGGGAAAAACTGTTTTTGTCAGTTATCATTTTCCGGAGTACGTTTATATTACTGTAGACGCGCACAACTCCAAAAACCATTAGTGATTTCCGAATAAGCGCGTATTGTGTGACTTTCCAGAGTAAAAATTCCTCTTATTAATACGCATCTTCTTTTAAAATGTCAGCTAGTACTAATTATTACCCCATCCTTGCTTCAACTGAGTCTTCACAAATATTTCTTGCTCGGATCTAGAGCGTTCACTTGATGTAGCGAATTTTGTTTTTAACAAGTGTCGATCCTGTAGCGCCTACGTTGCTCTTAACTATCCTCCTACAAGTTTCAATTTGATCATAGTAGTTACGTTTTGAAGATTAATGACTTTATTAAATAGTTTTGGTTACAAGTTAATGGACTAAAAGTCAAAGTCAAGTCGAATAGCACATCTCTTTTGGACTTCAATTGGACAAACTCTAATAATAATAGAGAGACATATTAATATGCATTTAAACTAGATTTTACTACAAACTATTGTTATACAGAACACGTGAGTATATAATGATTTCGTATGATGCATTTGCATTTAAAATTGCAATGCCGATAATAGCAACCAAGAAAACCCCGATCTAAAATGTCAGAGAATGGTATGCAAGTTGACGAAATCAAAGAAGAACCCGTGTCTGATGGATCCAATTATTCAATGTCTGAAGTAGAGACGGAAGCTATACCTACAAGCATGAACGCAGATATGAAAGTAGAGACCAAGAAACGAGTTCATAACGAAGATTCAGATTCTGAAGACGCAAAAAGAATAAAAACGGAAGACACCACGAATGCTCAAACTCCTACTCCAGCCTACACATCTCCCAGAAGTGCCTCTTCGCAACCAATTACGGATGCAAGTCCACCATTGGTCCATACAGTTCAGTCTACTCCTACAACACAAGCTGCTCCTAATAAACTTACTTGGCTTGACAAATTATCTGCTCTTCATTTGACCGAGGTTCAGAAGGAAGCATTGGAGAAGGCAAAGGCTTTCGCCCGTGAAATGCAATCTGTGGTAATTGATTTTCCAATTTCATTGAAACTCGTTGTTGCAATGGTAATAACTTTATTCCTGCATATTACACCCACGCTAGCTTTTAAAGTCGACCGGAAAACCTAGCTCGCCTCCCCCGATACCATCCATTCTCCTTACATCGAATCCAGGATTGGCTTCAGGAATAGATCCGCGCTCATTATCGGTACTATCTCGAATATACGTTGGTTCGATCAATTTCGAATTGACAGAACAACACCTCCGTGTAGTGTTTGGTCAATTTGGCGCAATCAAGAGTGTGAGTATGTCTCTCGATGCGGTCACAGGCAAGCATAAAGGGTTTTGCTTTATTGAATTCGAAACACCGGAAGGGGCATCTCTTGCACTGGAATCAATGAATGGGGCAGAGCTTGGTGGAAGGTGGGGCTTTTTCGATGATCAGACCATTCGTTCATTTCTTATTGGTATCGAATAACTAAAAAGTGGTTTTCAATTTTCTCTTGTACATAGACAATTGAAAGTAGGACGACCAAATAATTACACAGCAGCAACAGCAGCCGGTTCGTATAATTACTACATTGCCTCTTGTTTTTTCTTCGAGTCCACACATGTTCATACAATTGACTGAAAGGAAGTAGGTTTATTGCCGCCGCCGAAGACACGAATATACGTATCGAATGTCAATGAATACGTTAGTGAAGACAATCTAATGAGTATATTTGAGGCATTTGGCAAAATAAATGCGTGCGTGTTGATGGTAAGATCTGATATTATGTGTCCTATGTGATTATAACAACCCCAATAAATGCTCCTTTTATGCTCACACACCAATTTCTCGTCACATCACTGTAGCCCGACCTAATCACTAGAAAGCATAAGGGATATGGGTAAGATTGACATTTTTACTTCGTCTCCATCATCATATTGCGGTGAAAGGCCGTGGTATCACTTGATAGTCGACTCTGATTATCAGTCTCTTTGAAGAGAACGTTTGCTGTTTGGAGGGAACAGGGGCTCTACATATACATGTGATGAGCAAGATGCCAGTTCTCACATAGTCTTATAAGACGATCGCTTTATTTTATCCCTCCCCCTTCTCCCTATTACGTTTCGCATTATCCTTCCACTCTCATTCTTTCAATCGATCATTTTCAACGGAGATGATTAGATGTTGCAGCACGAAGGAAATTTGACGTACTCGCAGGAGTTTGTCGATTGTTTTGATTTTAATGCTCCGGGATTGTGTAGTACAATGAACGAAAAGACGCGGGAACAGTTCACACTCACTTATATGTTTCATCTATGCACTCTATGCACTCCAATATTTCCTGTCATTTTACTATCTATTTGCATCTTTCTCGTTTCTTTTCTTCTTCTTTCGCTTTCATACACGGACAATATCCTCATCTGCAGACAAGCAATAGCTGACGAAACGTTCAGTAGTGGTCAACTCACAGTACGTGTACGTTAGGACTGATCAAGGAGCGAAGATTTACCCATTTGGTAGAACCTCAGCAAATATTGGCGGCGTTTTTTATGCGTTTCGTTACACTTTGCAATCGCTCATCTTCAAAAAGTTTAGATCGGAATTTCGTGTTTGATATGTTTTCATTAATCCTAACCAAAGTTTCCCTCTTATTCCGTGCCATCGGTGTGTATATGCGTTTAGGTTTATTGAATTTGAAGATGGAATGGCAGCTTCGACTGCTGTTGTGTCGATGAACAATTTTGAATTGGGTGGATTGATATTGCATGTGGGCAAGGCAGTGATTGGTGGTCCACTTCCTGAAGGGATGAAAGCAATCGAAAAGTTACCACCGCTGCCAGCTGGCATGAGTCCCGCGATGCCGCTTGCTACGCCTTCTGTCTCTGCTGCAGGTTTGTGATATAGGCTTACACACACGCGTAACACTAAGTAAATGTGTTATAAGATAACCCTTAATTGCTAATTCGCTGTTAAAAAAATGTAGCTGCTGCTGTGAAAGCACAGAATGCTGCTGCCAAAATAGCCGCAGGTCTGGCAGCCAGGGGACAATCTGTCGTCGAGTCAGTAGCACAAGAAGAGAATATGAGTATAAGTGCTAGTCAACGATATGCTATAATGCAGAAGCTTGCACGACAAGAAGTAGAGTATCATGGTATTAATATAGTATATTCATCGATTAAGGATTTCCTCTAACACATATGGTATGTCTCGTTTACAGACATCCCCTGTTATTCTTATACAAAATGCGGTTGCTCCTATGGACGTTGATGATTCTTTAGAAGAAGAGTTCGAGGAGGAGTGTAGCAACTTTGGAAAAGTAAGTAAAGTTGCGATACACGTTGATCGGGAAAGCGTTTTCGAAGGTGAACAAGGAGTGGTGAAAATCTTTGTTCAGTTTGAAGATGCATCTGGTAAGCTTTTTTCTATTGTGACCGAGCAATGTTTCGCGATTTGCTAGACTGACTTATTTCGAAATATGTGCAGCTGCGGATAAAGCAAGAGAAAAGTTAGACGGACGGTGGTTTGGTGGTCGTCGTATCAAAGCAACGTTATTCGATCTGAAGAAATTCCAGAAGGGAGATTACTCTACATGATTTGAATTTTTGTAAGGAAATATTTCATTAAGTAGAATACATTTATCGAAATTTATGGGTCCTTTGTATGACTCTTTAATGCCTTATAATATACAATACAATCTACATTGACTGAAGTACTCACACAGCGCAATGTAGCCCTGAATAAGCAATTCCACAAATACACATTTTCTCTTTCTTGCCGACACGGCTAATTCGTACTAATTAGTTATTTAGTCAAAAGTCGTCACATGTATTCTTGCACTTCATTGATGCGCTGCTGTTTGATCGAGTGCCGTAAGATACGTTGCCAGTGGCCGCGAAGCTGTTGACACCGACCTTCCGCTGAAAAGAGCCTCTGTCACGATATCTGCAGTCAATTGAGATAACCTGTAATGATAACAGAGAATGACATGTATCTCAACAATGCACTAATATAATAAATAATCTGTAAGATGTGTGTTGTAACACTCACCATTCTTTCTGATCTTTGCTTAATACAGGCTCATCCGAGCTATTTGTCAGTGCTTTAATAGCATCAAAATGTATTTCTACGCGGGATTTGTATTTGAGAAATGGTTCACTTGCTTGATTTAAGCATTGCTGTGTGGTAATAATTAAAGAGTCGATTACAAATAAACATGGGCGATTAACCCCACCTTCCTTAGGCGCATGTATACAGGATTGAGGCATATACTCACATACAAGAGTGCTAATTGATGGGCAATGTATTTATGGTTTGTCAAATTTATATCTTGCTGGAGTTGTAATGCCATTGAGACCAGTTGATTAACGATGGTCATTTCGTGCAAATGAGCTAAGCAGAAAAAAGAGTATATGAATATTTTCATCATACGCGCTATAAAAAAGTATCATCGATGTTCTCCCATCCGATAATGTCACATACTTACCCCGAAATTCATTACTAGACCCCACCATAGAGACGACCAGCCTTTTGGCCGATTTTGGAAAAAATGCGGCAAGTCCTAGTTCAGACATGTAAGTCTAAAT